CCCAGGAGCAGAGAAGAAAATTTTCAAAGATTTAATGTATTTTCACTATATAATCAATAGAGCCCTGCCCTAACACCAGAACCCCTGACCCTGGGGCCATGAAATTCACAATTTCGGAAGAGGCATTCTTGCTCATCATAACTATGCTATTAGTTAGTTTATTTAATACCTAGAAGCAGAAAAGAAAATTTACAAAGAATCCATGTATTTTCAATTTATAATCAATAGAGCACCACCCTAACACCAGAACCCCTGACCCTGCGGCCATAAAATTCATAATTTTGGAGGAGGCATTCTTGCTCATCATAACTATGCAATAAGTTAGTTTATTTGATACCTAGGAGCAGAGACGAAAATTTTCAAAGAATCCATGTATTTTCACTAGTATATAATCGATAGAGCCCTGTCCTAACACCAGAACCCCTGACCCTGGGGCCAAAAAATTCACAATTGTGGTAGAGGCACTCTTGCTCATCATCACTGTGCACTTAGTTAGTTTATCTAATACTTAGAAGCAGAGAAGAAGATTTTCAAAGAATTCATGTATTTTTACTATATAATCAATAGAGTCCCGCCTTAACACCAGAATCCCTGACCCTGGTGCCATAAAAGTAACAATTTTGGTAGAGGCACTCTTGATCATCATCACTATGTACTTAGTTAGTTTATTTAATACCTAGGAGCAGAGAAGAAGATTTTCAAAGTATTCATGTATTTTCACTGTATAATCAATAGAGCCCCGCCCTAAAACCAGAACCCCTGATCCTGGGGCCATAAATTCACAATTTTGGAAGACGCATTCTTGTTCAACATAACTATACACTTAGTTCATTTAATATCTAAGAGCAGAGAAGAAAATTTTCAAAAATTTAATGCATTTCCACAATTTAATCAATAGAGCCCCGCCCTAACACCAGAACCCCTGACCCTGGGGCCATAAAAATCACAATTTTGGAGGAGGCATTTTTGCTCATCATCACTATGCACTTAGTTTAATTAATACCTAGAAGCAGAGAGGAAAATTTTCAAAGAATGCATGACATGTATTTTCACTAGTTTATAATCATTACAGCCCCGTCCTAACATCAGAACCCCTGACCCTGGGGCCATAAAATTCACCATTTTGGTAGAGGCACTCTTGTTCATTATCACTACGCACTTAGTTAGTTTATCTAATACCTAGAAGCAGAGTAGAAGATTTTCAAAGAATTCATGTATTTTTACCACATAATCAATAGAGCCCCGCCCTAACACCAGAACCCCTGACCCTGGGGTCATAAAATTCTCAATTTTGGTAGAGGCACTCTTGCTCATCATAATTAAGTACTTAGTTGGTTTATTCCATACCCAGGACCAGAGAAGAAGATTTTTCAAAGAAATAATGCATTTTTAATATAAAATTATTTAGCCCCGCTCTAGCACTAGAACCTCTGACCCCAGGGCCATGAATTTCACAATTTTGGTAGAGGATTCAATGCTTATTACAATTTTGCAAACAGTTTGACTGCTTGTTGTTCAGGAGTAAAGAAGAATATTTTTAAAGATAGCATTAATTTTAGAGGTTTTGGTCCCATATCCCTCAAGCCCCAGGCGGGGGCGGGGGGGGGGGGGGAGGGGGGGGAGCAGGGATCATGAAATTCATAATTTTCGTTCCCCATCACCCATACATGTTTTATGCCAAATTTGGTTGAAATTGGTTCAGTGGTTGCAGAGAAGAAGCTGAGAATGTTCAAATATTAACGCACAACGCACAACGCACGACGACGGACGAAAACGGATAGCAATAGGTCACCTGAGTTTACTCAGGTGACCTAAAATGTGAGGTCAAGGTCAAAGGAAATGTCAAGGTATGAGGTTAAAAAATGTTGATGCAGTTGCATAGCTCTCATCAATATCTATCAGCATAATAACATGAATAAGTTTGATGAAAATATCTTGGAGATGTTTCTTTGGAACTTAGCTTTGAACAGAGCTAAACGCGAAAGACAGACGGAAGGAGGGAAGGATAGAAGGAGGGAAGACGGATATATGACAAATACTATATGCCCTGGCCATATTCATGGCGGGGCATAAAAAAACTATTGAAATATAAAAGCCCTAGCACGAAGTATTCAAAAGTAATGACCAAGGATAATGTTTTCCAAGGGTAGGTGAAATTCCAAGAAAAAGATCAAGCTTAAGATATCCAAAGAAAGTTCTTGTCGCAAGGAATACACCTGTGAAATATGAAAGCCCTAGTCTAACTGTTCAAAAGTTATATCCAAGGTTCAATTTTTTTTTTCATAATCTTGTCATTTTCTAAGGTCAAATATATTTATACCCATGCAAAGGTCTCGAACACAGAATGAAATCCCTAGCATCAACTGTTCAAGGTACTTGGACACAGATTTAAAGTCAATATTTCCTCTGTAATATTACGACTTATATATTTTAATAGCAATTCACACAAAAATTAATAAAAAAAATTTTATTTCATTTAATCCTTAGGAAAAGTGGCAATCTTGTTGTGTATTAATTAATGAGAGATATTAAAACTTTTATCCAGAAAAATAATTTTATTCAGAGTAGAGATGTTAGAAAGCAAAACACCTTCACAAGTATCGTCATTCCGAACTAAGAGTTGCGTACAGGATTTAGCAAACGAGCACACTCGTGTTATGTACACAGTTTTTGTAAACAGGACACGAGTTATGTTTTTGTTTATGTGTACAATTCACCGGGTGCGTTCTTAATCGTACATCGTAAATCCCCGGTCGACAGTATATCCATGTATGGTATGTAGAAATAATTAGCCCCGTAACAATACTTCAATATACAATGATGTATGAATATGTTGATATTGTACGTACTACTTTATCCTTATATTGGAGTTGCAACTCCAATATAAGGATAAAGTAGTACGTACAATATCAACATATTCATACATCATTGTATATTGAAGTATTGTTACGGGGCTAATTATTTCTACATACCATACATGGATATACTGTCGACCAGGGACAGGTCGACATTTGACAGTTGACACTTCCCTTGTGTTCTAGTGTCGACCGGGGACAGGTCGACGGTTGACAGTTGACACTTCCCTTGTGTTCTAGAGTCAACTGGGGACACTAACCCTAATCATGGCTATAAATTTTAGACTAACCCTAATCACAGCTATTAATGCGAAACTAACCCTAATTACAGCTATTAGAGTCAACTTGGGACACTAACCCTAATCATGGCTATAAATTTTAGACTAACCCTAATCACAGCTATTAATGCGAAACTAACCCTAATTACAGCTATTAATGCGAAACTTACCCTAATCACAGCTATTAATGCGAAACTTACCCTAATCACAGCTATTAATGCGAAGCTAACCCTAATTACAGCTATTAATGCGAGACTAAACCTAATTACAGCTATTATTGTGACATTAACCCTAATCACACTTATTAATGCGAGACTAACCCTAATTACAGCTATTAATGCGAGACTAACCCCAATTACAGCTATTAATGCGAGACTAACCCTAATCACAGCTTTTTTTTGCAAAAATAACCTTAATCACAGCTATGTATACGAAACTAACCCTATTCACAGTTATGTATGTGTGACTAACCAACTGTCAACTGTCCCCGGTCGACAGTAGAAATGTTTAAGTGTCAACTGTCCCCGGTCGACAGTAGAAATGGTTGTGTCAACTGTCAACTGTCCCCGGTCGACAGTAGAACCGAATCACTACTTCTATATATACAAGCTTCCGCATAGGGACTACATACCCTTATATTGGAGTTACCAAAACTGCACGGACTGACAGTATATTGTGTGTTTTGCTTTCGAACATGTCTACTCTGAATTTTCTGGATTACAGTATTAATATTTATACACAACGAGATTGCAACTTTTCCTAAGGATTAAGAATAAAATTAATTTGTAAAATTGCAAGGATGTGTCAATCAAACCCGCCAAAAAATTTGAAATTTTAATATCTTTTAAATGAAATAAGATTTTTCATAAATTTTTGTGTGAAATGGTATTAAAATATATAAGTCGTAATATTATAGAGAAAATAATAATTTCAAATCTGTGTCCAAGTACCTTTCAAAAGCTATGACTAAGGATAAAATTCGATAAATTTTTTTGGCAAAAATTGGTAAAACTCCAAGGTCCAGAGGTAAAATTTAATTGGTATCCAGAATTTAAGGTTTGTTACAAGGAATATAATAAATGTTAAAAATGAAAGCCATGGCCCCACCAACTCAAAAATTATGGACAAGGTTAAAGTTTTTGCAGACACAGACTGATGGATAAGGCAAAAACTATACAAAAAAACTTGTTTAGTATGAACACATAAATTGCGAATTACAGATATAGCAAAGTTATCTTGGATCCCCAGCTGTATAGATTTAACAAATATCTTATACAGATATTATATCGAATTACTTATATAGGGAATCAATTAATTTCTTAGTTTTAAGTCCCTGTGACTTTGTTACAACTGAGTTTTACTGTATATCCCCGAATCTTTGATTACGGGGGCATAAAAAGTCAATATTAGCAAATTGCTATGTAAAAGATAATAGAACATGTGTTTAGTCTTTTCTCTTTTATACGTCAACTCATTCTGTTACGCAGGTAAAAACAGAGAACCATTTTCCCCACCTAAAGCTGAACACAATTCGTAAAAAGAATTTGTCCGTCATATTTGTCCAAGCTCTCGCTTTATCCGCAGATCCCTGTAAATACAGCGAATCACTTAGTCACTCAGTGTAAAGAATTGTAACCGGTGTATATGGACATATCCTGCAGGAAATTAAGATACCAGGGACACCTACAACAGTTGCACAGGCCAGTGCAGTATACCTTCGAACATAAATACCGGGATATATGCATAAGTGTAATAAAATGTTAACAAAGGTAATGCAAGAATAAAGTAAACTATGGCTACAGAAAAACACATCTGCAAATCAAATTGATATTTATACTCTTTAATTTCAAAATAAAGAAGAGGCCCATGTGCTACATAGCTCACCTGAGCACTGTGGCTAGAGTGGTTAGAAATTGGTTTATTATTGAAAAGTTTAAATCCAAAAGTAGTCCCATGACTGATCATAATTGAACAAACTTGAATCTACACTACCTAAGGATGCTTCAATATAAATATGATCAATTATGGCTAAGCTATTCTTGAGAAGAAGATTTTCAAAGTATTTTCCTATATATTTCTATGTAAAACTTTGATCGGCCATTGTGGCCCCGCCCTACCCCCAGGGGGCATGATTTGAACAAATTTGAATCTGCACTACCTAAGGATGCTTCCATATAAATATGATCAATTATGGCTAAGCTATTCTTGAGAAGAAGATTTTTAAAGAATTTTCCTATATATTTCTATGTAAAACTTTGATCGGCCATTGTGGCCCCGCCCTACCCCCAGGGGGCATGATTTGAACAAATTTGAATCTGCACTAACTAAGAATGCTTCCATATAAATATGATCAATTATGGCTAAGCTATTCTTGAGAAGAAGATTTTTAAAGCATTTTCCTATATATTTCTATGTAAAACTTTGGTCGGCCATTGAGGCCCCACTCTACCCCCCGGGGTCATAATTTGAACAAACTTGAGCCTACACTACCTGAGGATGCTTCCATATAAATATGATCAATTAGGGATTGGCTATTTTTGAGAAGAAGATTTTAAAAGAATTTTCTATATATTTCTATGTAAAAGATTGGTCTGCCATTGTGGCCCCGCCCTACCCCCGGGGTACATGTTTTGAACAAACTTGAATCTACACTACCTGAAGATTTTACCCCATAAGTTTCATCTTTCCTGGCACAATGGTTCTTGAGAAGAAGATTTTTAAAACATACCACCAAATTTTCATTAATTCCCAATTATCTCCCCTTGAATGAGGGCATGGCCCTTCATTCCTTTGGTTGAAATTGGCCAAGCGGTTCTTGAGAAGAAGTCGAAAATGTGAAAAGTTTACAGACAGACAGAGGGACAGACGGACAGCTAGACAGACAGACGCCGGACAAAAAGTGATCAGAAAAGCTCACTTGAGCCTTCGGCTCAGGTGAGCTAAACAGATACAGAATTTTACAGATTTAAGGAGTTTAAGACAAAATTCCCTAGCAATTTATACATTAAGCATGTTTAACTGTAATTTATAAAATATTATCAATTATTTTCTTAATGCACATAAAATAATGCAGCAGGGAATTTGTATTTAAATAAAAACAAAACCCTGACTCTGAAAGTAGTATTACTTGATACAAAAATAACAATCGAAAAAAAGCAACAAATCATGATCATGACTTAGAACAGATGTGTACATCATGCCATATGAAGTCATTTCTTTGCAAAATGAAAAGTTGGTAAAAATGATGGTGGATTATTAACTGCAATATTAATTGCTTAAAAATATCAATACAAAGTATAAATAATCCATCTAGAGCACAGATCATCCATAACATGAAGTTGTTGTTTGAAGGTAGGACTAGCAGTTTTTACGAGGATTCTTTCCCTAATCGGGAAAGGGACTGTTTCTTGCAGCCTTGTCCTTAATTAACACTCTGATAAACACACATAAAAACAGCCTCACAGGTTGGGATCACATGATCACATGGGGTCACGTGATTGGTTGATCTTTGAAGCCACTATTTTTCCATATCCTCCCCTTCCTTCGTCATAATCTGTTCTGTATTCATCTCGGACCTGAAATTTAGAAAAAAAACATAAGGTATAATCAGATAATAAATATAAAAACAATTTACTTTCAAGGAAAATAATAACTTCACTTACTAGCCTTTTTGAAACTGGCATAACTTTACTATAAGAATGATTTATTTTTTAATTCAAATTTGATGGACAAGTTCTGTCACTTGACTTATAACGCTTTAATATCAGAACAATTTGTCCATTTGAGACAGATTTATCAAAGTTGTTTTTAAATTTGTGGAAATTTTCACACCTCCAACATATCAATACACTTAATGGCCTGCAGCTGATAGAAATGGAAATGGCTTTGTTTATTTTGTACGTAACAAACCTTTTTCTTCTTTCTTGGGTTCTGGGTTCTGATACATTTAAAATTTTTACCTGTCCCCCACTTTTGCCCCTCCCGCACTGCCGTCCCTCCTTAAAGCCGTGGTCCCAGTCTGTACGAATGATCCGGTCGTCCAGCCTCGTTCCGTTGATGTACCTCATGGCATTCTCCGCATCCTCTCGTGTGTAGTATCTGGGTAGTTCAGGAAAAACTAATTTCTATAATCAGTCATTAATATACCTGGTAATTATTTCAAAATTAAAAGTATGAATCTTTTTTAAATTATGATGTTTGATTGGTTGTATCCCTTTAGAATTAAAATCAATAATTGTTTCTACATCCATATTCATTGTACACAATATAAATTAGTGACATGATTTAATTTGTTTTAATTGACTTTCTGATCATTTAGATTTTAAAGAAGAACTTCAATACAGAGATAAGCAGAGTTCTGTTTTGTTTTTCTTTATATCTTTTTTATCACCAAAATTAACAAATATATTAATATTCAATTTTTCTCTGTCCATTTTTAAAAAAAAAAAAGAATTTAAAGTTCTTTTAGTTATAATATGTTATGCAATTTTTTAAGTTTTGAATTTTTTTTTTCTTTTTGAAAATTCTCATAAAAGTAAAATGTGAATGTCAATCATATCAGCTGAAATATTCAGTCTATTGTGGGGTATATCTTTAACAAATGTTGAACAAATCAAAATGACTGTGTAATTACTCTTTTGAGAAAATGAACCCAATCACCACAAACCATGACAAGGAGAGAACCTACTATTATTTGCGACAAATTTATTTCGTGATTTACCAGGAAAAATTAGTTTGTGACAATTATTTTTTGCGATCAAACCTTTTTGGGTCTGTTCTTAATAGACACATACACTTTAAGGACCGGTTTACGGCGAGAAATAAGTGACGAGGTTCTTGCGAACTTCGTGAAAATTTCTCGCACGCGAATAAAAGTTGGTTTACATGTGGTCTCTGCACTGCACTGGTTAGAGAAGATGACTGAAATATAATAGCTTTGATTTTTTTTTTTATGATAATCACTTACAAAATGAGTTTACTTGTCATTTATACATAAACATATAAGACATCAAAACACAGAAGGATACTCCACAAAGCAGAATCCACAGGGAGTTTTCTTGACCTTATCCAGCCCCATGACGATTCGCTTGATGTCGCCACATTTCCCAAACAACTCATGGATCTGTTCCTCTGTCGTGTAGTACGAGAGATTCCCTACATATAACGTGGAGGACGTCAACAAAGCTTTCTCCTGGTCCGCTCGGCTCCCCTAAAATTAAATATAATAAACGTATATACTAGTATAAGATCAAATGAGAGGTTTTCTAGAAAGTCATTCATATAAAGAGGAGGATCAGGGCTTACTCCTGCTCAGCAAAGCTGTCTTGAAAATATTGAGCATTTATAATATTTGAATATATACATGATAGTTTTGCAACATATGACTTTAGGAGTAGAGTAGTATTGAGGAATTGTGATCAATATTAAATATTTACATCCACTGAATATTTTCTCCTTTATTTCTTAAGAAAACCCATTGCCATTTATCAGTGCATGAACATCACTTTGCCCATAACTTAATAGACGTTACATGGTAACTGCAGAACTACTTCCTTGCAGGGCAAAATGGTATATTTTGGTGATGTGACATAAAAGTAATTGTTAAATCATCTCTCAATAAAAACTTCGCTAAACGTTATTATTTTGCCCTGCAAAAGAGTAGTACCATAGTTACCATGAAGGGGCTAATAGACAAACTATGTATTTGTTACATGTAATATCCATTATCCAGGTCCAAGACAATACCCTGATAAAGCCTATATATAAAGATATTAAAAATACCTTGGTCAAGGTATTTCATGTAATGAAAATTCAAAAAATTCTTAAAATATTAAATACTGAAAGTTGAGTTCTGAGTTTTTGTCAGTAAATTCACCCATGCATGTAAAGTACTCAAACACAAAGAAATCAGTATAAAACCATGTCATGTGAGGAGACATTCTTTTATGCAGCTGTCTTTTTGATACCAGAGTGTTTTTCATATACGAGTAGACACACTGACAAAAACTCAGAACTCGACTTTCAATATTTAATTTTTAAAGAATTTTTTGAATTTTTATTACATAAATACCTTGATTAGGGTATTTTTATACCTTTATCAGGGTATTGTGCTGGACCTGATATATTTGCTCCCAGCCTTTCCTGTTTTTGTGATTTTTAAGCGCTAGGCGCAGCGCAAAGCGTTTTCTGTCGCCGTAAATCTACTTCCGTTCGCAATCCAGCGCCATTAAGCAAGTTAGATAACTCCACTGTTTTTTTCTAAAAATGTGCAACTTGAAATCCCTGACTCTCTTTCGGCTATTTTGGTGTGATACTGAGTTACGTGCAGTTCTAACAATAGGAGTCAATTAGTAGGTAAAGATAATTATGCATGCACTGTGTACGAAAATCCACATGCACTGTTAGTAGACAAGAGCGGTTCTTGTCAGGCTTATCTCTATACATTGTAGTTTATTTTAAATCGTATCGGCACTCATCACATGTCCAATGTAGTTAACAGTTGCTGCATTTATGCGCATTCAATGTAGTGATCAAATAAGTACACATTTTTAAAACTAAGATGAGATTTTGACAAGTATTTAAATCTTCGAATTGGAATTGAATTATTTAGTAGCAATTATGAACTTGATTTACATGGTGCATATGTATGTTCTACGAACGTATATCTATATAAAATATTGTTTGTTCTTCTACGCGTAGACCCTAATTTAAGGCAATGCAACTAAAAAGAAGTCTTCAAAAATGTTATATTACGTTATACAACATTTTTGAATAAGTTTTCTTATTATATCACAAATGTAATAAGTTCTCTATAAACCCTGAAAAATGCTGAGTCACACCGGAAACAGTTATGTCACGCACAAGACGAAAGACCACCTTTAAGCAATCGCTTATTGGTAGCTTAATGGTGACTTAATGGTGGCTTAAAGAAGTTAATTCCTTTAAGCCACCATTAAGCTGCAACTTACAGGTGCTCAATGTCCAAACTTCATTAAGCTACCATTAAGCTACCATTAAGCCACCATTAAGCTGAGCTTAATGGTGACTTAATGGTCAAACCTTATTAAACTCCACGCATTTACGCATCTTATATAGAATCTTTAAACTAACTGTTATTTATATTTTTATCAATTACGCAAAATCTATTCCAACTCATAATTTTGTCTCAATCATAATTTCTACGATTTTTTTTGTCAACATGCATAAACTTGATCACTTAGAACAAAGTTAGCTAATAGCCACAGGGGCTTGCTCGAGGTGTCTATTTTTTTTTTTAAATCATTTACAGTGATAATAAAACAAGACATGCTTTATCAGAACCGTAAATTATTTTTAAAAAAAAATTATTATGCGTTGTTTTTATTTTTAGTGTATATGATTTAAAAAAAAATAAATATTTATTACACACCGGGAGCAAGTCCTTGTGAAATATCTTAAATTTTCAATACCAAAAATCAATTTGTTCTTAAAATTATCTTTATCCATGAACACAGACTATATATTACTTTTTAAAACCAAAATGGTATAATTTTTATTTCATGTGTTAAAAGAAACATTCCGCTACAGAATTCACAGGAATATAACTTTAAGTCTAATCATTTCATGAAAAAAATCTCTGTCTTATTTTTTTTTCTTGGGGGGGGGGGGGGCTACTGGTATACAAATGTTTAGTTTTCAAAGATTGATTTTTACCATAAAAACTTTTAAATGGCTTTTACATCATGAATAATTTTAATTAATTCGTTATCTTTTTTTAAAAAATACAGCGGTAAGTATCTGTCAAAATCCTCTAGTCGGTCTGCAATAATTGTTATTTCAAAATCGATTTTCAGAAGAACAGCCGATCAGACTAAACATAACATCTGACCAGATGTATACACATTGAGAAACGGGGTAACATTAACAGATGATCAGTGTACAGTAAACCGACTGGTCAGACAATAGACCTTAATTAGGTGTCCCCCCGTCCCCGGTTAACTAACAGGAAACTATACACACAACGTACACTGACAGATTTTGATGATCAATTATTTTTTTAAAAAAATTAAATTTAACGCAAGCAAATAACAAATTAAAAATTATGATTCATCGTAAAAAGTCAATTATTTTGATACCCATTATGATACAAAAAGAATTGAAACTGAATATGATATTCTAAAAAAAGTTTTTGTAAAGTTAACGTAATAAACCAGGTAAATCTTACGCGAGGATTTTCACTAAATTCTTGACACAGAAACCGTTAATATTCGCAGTATATTAAAAAAATATAGTAGAATCTGTTTTTTCGTCTTTCTTTTTTGTGTTTTATCTAAAATTAATTTATTTTCAATCATGATTTAATGCTTACATGTATAAATTTTCGAATAACAGAGCGACGAACTCAATCACATTACATCAATCTAAAAGCCGAAATCAATGGTTTAGAAATATTAATGTGATATAAGCCTTTCAAAAAGATCCACAAATAAAATTGTTTATATTTTGATTAATAAATCAATTCAAGATTTTTGGAAACGTTCAACAAAATTCTAATAAATACTTTCACAAGTCCAAACAATTTTTGTAAAAAACAGAGTTTAAATATTTAATATTTTCACTTCTAATCAAGAGCGGCGATGGCCTAATGGATAAGGCGTCTCGTCAGTGGTTTTTTTTTTTTTTTTTTTTTTTTTTTTGAATTTTGAATTTCGTTCTTTTTCATTATTTTTAACAAATCAAGGTATGTGCGAACCCTATATTTATAATATTGATAACAAATCACTATAAAAATAATTTTTCAACCATATAAACAATATTATCGACTGCTTAATGTAGCTTAATGGTGGCTTAATGGTAGCTTAATGGTAGCTTAATGGAGTTTGGACATTAAGCACCTGTAAGTCCTCCTTAATGGTAGCTTAATGGTGACTTAATGGTGGTCTAAAAGCTACCATTAAGGACCTGTAAGCCACCATTAAGCTACATTTAAGCACCCATTAAGGACTTTGAGATGGCTTAATGGTAACTTAATGGTGGTGTAAATGTTACTTAAAGGTGCTTAATGGTGACTTAAAGACAACCATTAATCCACCATTAAGGACCTATAAGCCACCATTAAACCGGACTTAAAGGGTGTGTTTCATCTTGTGACGTCAGAAACAGTTATGTCATCCCGGACGGAAACAGTTATGTCATCCTTTCGATCACCTTCACGTGTTTTTACGTTGCGCATTTAAGTTCGGGTTCGAGATTTTATGACGCCGGTTGCAATTAAAAGCAAAAAAAAAAAAAACAAAAAACAAAAGCAAAAAAAAAAACAACAACAACAACAACACAGCATATTTCTTAACGTCAAGAAGGCATTTTCGGATTATTTGTGTAAATTTCAACGATTTTGAATGATTTTGAATTCTTTTAATTTTAAAAATGTCATATAACATATTCCACATGGCTTCTCGGGCGACTATACCAGCATATTTGCCCCTCGGTGACAGGAAAGCCCTGGAGTGTTATGTCACCCTCTGCCCTCAGTTATATGACATTTTTTTAAATTAAAAGAAGATTTAAAATCAACTAAATCAATTAAAACGTAAAAAAAACGCGAACGTGATCGAAAGGATGACATAACTGTTTCCATTGGGGGTGACATAACTGTTTCCGGTGTGACTCAGCATTTTTCAGGGTTTATAGCGAAACATATTACATTTATGATATAATAAGAAAACTTATTCAAAAATGTTATATTCTGGTATGTCACCCTGGAAGCCATGTGATATATGTATAATGTCATTGTGTCTTTATATTGTGTCAAAAATGCTAAGCCTCTTGTCAGCATACATGTATATTAGGCTATTTAATATTAGATGTGAAAAGCTCATGTCTTACTGTGCGCACTCTTCTACATTATGTCGATGCACTATTACGTGATGCGAACACAGGTATCCTCGGCCTTTATATAGGCATAACGTATTTTCGGCGTTCCGCATGCACTAAAATTGGCGGGAGAGAAAACTGTCATAGAATAAATTCTCAGCGATTTGGGAATGGCATCTTTAAATGAAAACAATTTATTTGATGTACAATTTTGAAACGTGCAAAGCCTTAACACTGCGCCTGTTTAATTCAATGGTGTTTACTTTTAATCTGATAATTAAATAAATAAAATATTATGAGTCGTGCAGCTTTTTTTTTTCTTTTTCTTTTGAATTGATTTTGTTTTGTTTTTTTTATTAAGAC